GCTTTCATATTCCAACGAAAATCGGGAGATAATTATTCTTTTCTAATTTTATTCAACTTGAAAATTCTAGAATTCCTCCGAAGTGACAGATCTGGAAGAATAAAATTATTTCAATAACTAAAATTTCAGAGTCGCGGGGTTTTGAGTCTCCGCACAATTCACAAATTATTATAATTGTCTCGTTGTGGTTGACTTGGGATATTTAAATTTTTTGTCGGTGAATTTATCGGAATGGAGGTGCCAGGAGAGATAATCGGATTATGTCGTCTCGCATTACATTAAATTCCACCTTGCAATTAATACCTGCCAACTTGCAGAGCTTATCATACCAGGATATCACTGCAAAGTGGCGCGAAACTCTCGACAAATAGAGAAACAAATTGTTTTGGCTTCTCTCTCGTGATTTATCTGAATTCACCGCTCTGAATAACTCGTTCCCTATCCATCCCGCTGAATAGGAAAAAAATAGAGGATCTCATCTGCAAATAATTAAGTTCTGACTCCAAGTGTCATGGGTGGTCTCAACACATTGATTATCCACTGTATACACTATTTCCGGTGTAAATTCACTTCTCCACACGTCGGCAAACATCCAATAGTCGTTTGTCCAAACCTCAGAGTAGAGAATGAAAATAAATTGAAATAGTCAAAATCGTCACGCCCTATGCGGTGAATACCAGAATTCATCTGAATGGTAGGGAATCAAATTTACGAGAACGCGTAGCGAATTGTCCCACCAACGAATGCCGAAGGACTTGATTCTTCTCGTCAAATAAATAACTTAAAACCAGTACCAAAAATTTCAACAACATCCCAGTGATTGTGTAATTTCCACAGTCCATAGAAAAATTCCCCTGTAAAAATTACGGAACAATTCACATAATTCAACTCACCTTTTCAATCATCTCTTTTTAATCATCCGAAATTCATGATTCAACAATTTTTATTGTTTTTATTATCTGTACCTCTTCTTGTTGGTCATTTTGAATTTTTAATTGAAAAATTCGATTGAATATTCGTACATAAATTATTCAACCGGAGTTATTAGTCCGGTAATTTTCGATGATATTGTCTGGTACAAAGTAAAAACTTGAGGATACAATGTAAAAAATAAAACAATGTTAGTGGGCGGTTAGTAGTCAATATAAGGATCCAGAGAGAGCTCATGCTGAGAGGGTTATAACGAAAGGGTCTTGTCTGCGTAATTCGTACTGGGTTACATTTAGCCCCGCGAATAATATCCAGCGGATGGAATTGGATGGCGTGGGTGAATATGCGAATGATACAAAGAGCGAATGGTTAGATGGAAAATCCTCACGGTGAATCCTGTTGTTAAACAGACAGGGGGAACGCACGCTGTGAATGGTCAGGGATTTTTAAACGACCGGTAAACACGTGTGTCCCGTGTTACGAAGGACTTGGGATGTTGTCAAGTGATGTGTGTGGGCGATACCGAGGGTTTCATCTCACCCTCGTTAGAAAATCAGTGTCACGAGTGATTGGCCTTTTTTTTTTCTTTTAATCCCGCCACCCGAACATCAAAGTAAGTATAATCAAAGTAAGTATAACAAGTCTTAAATAATCATCCAATCCTTCATTTTAGTCTCACAGTCATCTGCACTTTCAATTGGGGATGAGAAGGGATTAATTATTGATTTTTTAATTTTTTCAGTTGTTCAAACGAAGATGTATGGAAAAGTTACCCATTTAACAATGTTGATAGACTCGGGTAAAAAAAATTGTAACCGAAATATTTTTTTCAAATTTTCAAAAAATTTGTGGAAAATTTTTCAGAAAATTTGAATAGGAAATTTTTTTTGTAGTTTCGATGGCGTATTTTGTGGGAATATTGAAAAATCAGAAAAGTAAGAAAACAACAGTATAAGTTTAAAAAAAATATATATTCGTAAAAATTTTTGAAAAATTTACCAGAAATTTTTTGAAAATTAGGAAAAAATATTACGATTACAATTTTTTTTACCCGGAGTAGGAGAGTGAAAAATCGAAATGTTAAATGTAATTTTCCAATAGTGTGTGACTCATCGAACAAGTCACATGAATTTCCTAGAAAGGAGGGAGTCGTGACGATGGGAGTGAAAAAATGAGGTGGAGGCTGGATTGCTGGCTCGGCTGAGTGAGTTAACAATAAAGAAATGATAAAAAAAAATGATGTAATAAAAGTAAAAAGGGTTGAAAAAATGCGAAGGATACGCCAAAGTTCCCCCTTGCCCACCCTATGTGCCAACGTGCAATCCGGTTGCTCCACTTTGCTAAGAGTCTCACGGTGCCGACTCTGGTCCAGCCCTTTATGGCCAGTACACGTTCAACTCTACCACTCTCTCCACCACTTGGGAGAAGTACCTTTTAACTAAGGGCAACCCATAATACCACATCAAATACGAGCTTCTCCCATATTTTTCAATGCCATTTCCATCACTTTTCATTCGTACCCTCCATCATCACTTCAGACTCACTCTACGACCCTGCGGTTAATAAATTCACGATTACCCCTGCTACACGAATTTTCATTCCATATTTCATTGAATCAACATGAATTTTTAATTAATCAACAAAATAATTGATCAATAAATATGAGAGAGAGGGACTTGACGAATTTAAACCGATCAGTTAGAATTAAATAATTCGTTTAATCGAGACTTACGGATTTTCTTGAATTTCCATTCACCTGAGAATCCTCGGGCTTTAATCTCTTGCTATCGCAGGATTGAAATAAAAAAATGTCATTTATTTGACAGAATAATTTATTACCATTGAAGCGGTGGGATAATTACTTGTCGCGATATCAAAAAGTTTTCCGATACCGAGACTCAATGAATTATGACTACTCCCTCTTTTCAAGTCGTGGCAACTTGTAATTGAATAAATAGAGGTCATACCAGATATTCTTGTAGACGAGGTATTAGGAAGGTAGAGGACAGTAATTAAAACATGTGGTGTCTTCATCTGATTCTTTTCTGCGCCAGCTTGGTCGTCACTGCTGGAGAACGTAAGTAATTCATAATTATCATTCTGAATTTAATTTGTTCATGAATTCACTTATTCTGGTAATTTCAGTTGTTCCCGGCGTACCCCCGGCGATAGGAGAACCCCCTGTAAGTGACTAATTAATCAATTTGGAATAATTATTAAATAATCCATTGGATTATTTATTTCAGTACCTCCCGGGACAGCTGAAACCAGACGAGATGTGTCGTTTACATTATAAAGATAAAGGTGCACACATGGTAATATTTGTATAAAGTATTTATTTTTACAAATCACATTGTTCAATTAAATCATAAAAGTGTCTTCAGCATTTTTGATTGGTCTACAATTTAATTTGCATTTTCAGGTGAAGGATCCCGAGCTCGTTGGTGATCTGATTTGCATTATTAAATTGCCATGCAAACTTTCAAATGGTGTAGTAAAAGAAATGCCTGGAACACCTAGAAATTATGTAATCTGTGACAAAGGCATGGTAAGTACAATCAGGAGTGTTCGATATTTTTTATTTCAGAATAAAAAATGAGGATTCTTTTTTTCTGGTAGATTTGCAAGGATGGAAAGTGCCAGAGCTGGCGATTCTCTACGAAATGAGATGTTCTACGCGGGATAATTCAACCTGATGAATTTTTATCTAGTGTCACCAATTTTAAACAATATTATGAATCATTGATTACGCAATAATAAATTATGAACGATATTTATCAAGAAGAGCAATTGGTTATTTTTATTTTTATGACCAACTATTTTATTTATATATTATATATAATTTTTACGGAATTTTTTGTCAGAAGAAATTCACACGATATTTTACATTGTTCTACCCACCGAGTGCTACCGATTTTAAGAATAAATAGCGCAAGGGGAGTGAGAGAAATAAAAAAATGTAAAATTCTTGGCACGTGACTTCTCTGAAATGAGCCTCATCGCCCACCAAAAGTCGTTAGTCATAGGTCGTTTGTGCGGTGGTAATTAATCCTCCCTTCAATTACAAACCAGACCGAGGGTTAATTGCATTCATCTGGATGAAGTGCAATAAATCACTGAATTTTCTGCAATTTTTTATCCATAAAATCTGGGCAATTGAAAGAAAATATTCATCTCCAGGCGACTATCATTTTCCCCATCCGGAAATTTGTTCTCCCTTTGCGTTTTATTTAAAAATTCATTGTTAAATAAAATAGTATTTTGCGTTGAATTGACCCTCGAGCTGTAAATTATCGTGGATAAACCCTCGTCGAGGGAACAATGTGCGTAGGACGATGTCATCTCGAGTTCAGATGGGGTTTGAGTATCAGAGATGGTGGGATACTGATTTTCACTCTTATCACGCATTCAAGTCTCCAGTGAAGAATTGCTTTCCAGTAATCCATTAATTTTCCTCTCCTCTTGTCTGCACTCGAGGCTTTTTTAATTTTTTTTTTTTTGGTAAAGACAACCTCTCGTGAGAAATTTAGTGATGAGCCGGAGGGAAGTGAGACAAGGAGACATTCGGTTTAACCGATCACCAAGTTTTCTAAGCTCGATTATCGATTTTCTTCATCTTGCACTGAGGGCTATAAAGCCATTTCTGTCATTCGATGCTAATGCACTGGTGCAAGCATCCCTAACATGGTATACACGCATGCATTCACCTGAGTACAGGCGACTTCTCGTCGCCGTTGACTCGATCGTGGGAGCGAGACCATCAGCCATGGAAAAACCCAATCCCGAAGACTGAAAATTTTATTTAATTTTATTTAATTTTATTTAATACTATTTCCACTAATTTCTACTTTAATTGTTCATTTTATTTTCTTCCTCAAAATCAGTCTTGGATACTTACAATTTAATTAAACTTTTCAAATTATTATTCAATTATTTAATTTTATTTGATATTTCAAATTTTATTTTCAGTCTTCTACTGAGATAAAAAATAACCTCTTCATTGAATAATTTTTTATTATCTTTATTAGTTATTATTTTTAGTATATTATTGTTGTCCCATGAAGTCCCGGGGTCAGTGCAGGGAGTATTTCTGTCAAGGTCTTGGTCATCGGGCCTCTACATTTCATGTTTACTCCACTCAAGTTACTTAAAAGCTCAGTGAAAGTATTGCCTCTTGTCACATTTCCTTTGCACCGGTGTTCAAGCTGTTCTTCCATTTTTATTCTTTTATTATTATTTCATTATTCTCTTTTCTCGAAATGTTAAACTTCCTCGAGTGAGTTTAGTCCACGACCTGCCCTCACAATGGCCACACGTGTGCACCACATAAATATTTAACTCAGGATCGTTTTCCTTTCCTTTATTCCCAGTTTTTTTTTTCGCAATTTCCGTCGGTTTGTCTCAGGTCTATTACTTCCGGTCCATAATTTTCGCGCAATCGCGGTGTTTGATAAATAATTGCAATTTCACGACCAATTCATCAGCCCTTCCCAGAAAAACGATTTTTTATTCCATTTAAAATTCAACGGGTTTTTTCTCACTGTAAAAATGTCAACGAACATTTAACAACTTGCAATAAACAATTTATTTCGGTTAATTCTGGAAGTTATTTCGATTTTCGGTTTTTTTAAAATAGATAATTGGCGGAGTTTCGCGAATATCTCCGAAACCCCCTGACCGAGAGAAAAACACGAAAGGAAATTTTTGTACAGAATTTTATGAGCTACAAAAAAGGTCCTCAGGTCTTTGAGACAAGTCCATTGGTTTCCCAGATATTTCTAAAAGACTGAGAAAGGGATTGCTGAAAAATTCCAATGACAGGATTAATGTACCTGCAGGTCTCTGGGACATTTCCTGCTGGGGTAATTAATTCGTGAGGATGCTCGATGGTATGGGATAACCCTGGGGTGAGGTCAGAACCACTCGAACCACCTGTGGAGCCAAAACTAGCGATAGAGCTGCCGACATTCACAAAGTCCGTGATCTTCCACTCAAGTCCATTCATAACTCTCACTTCCTTCATAATACTTTGACATGAGCTTTACTCACTGATTAAATGCCCGATAAGGTAAATGACCGAGTGCAGTCTAGCTTAAGTGGAAACATTATTATTCCCGATTTCCTATTGATTTCCTTTAATTTTTCATTGTTGGATGAATCCGAGAAATTATCGTGTTCAATTTCCGCGAAAATTTCATTGGAAATCATTGGAAATTTAACTTCTTGGAATATTTAATCATTCCCAAAAATCGAAAATAGTCGAAGCTCAAGTTCAAGTCCTCCAATTCGACTTTAATCTCCCGATAAAAAATAACCTCCCATGATTTGCTCGTGGGTGGAGAAAATATGAATTATCCCACTCGCCATTATCTCTCGAAAGAAAAAATGAGAAAAATTTCTTCTCATGACGTACCATGAAATACGATGCACTTAAAAAATACACGAGATGAATTCGAAGAAAGAGAATAAATAAATTGAACGGGCACACGATTTTTATCTGAAAAAATTTATAAACCAATCGGGGAAGTCTTGTGTGTGCTCTCAAAACGATCATTTTGCTTCGATAATCTTCGATGCGAATCGACGAACCACTGGAGAAATCGACAACCAAGAATTAACGAGCCCATCTTACTTTTGTCTGAATGATTTTTTTATTTATTTCTTTTAGTTCAATTCCCATTGCGTTGTTTCATCCTTGGGTGTCTTGTGCACATGCGAAAACGACGCCCACTTTCGGTCATAAAGACAGATCACGGGCCAAAGATACGTGAGAGCGTGCCCTGCTCACCACCATTTAAGGAATTGGGCCCTGTCTCTCAATTTTTTCAGACAAAATTATCCAATTATTCTGGCGACCATTTTTTGTCGCATGAAAATCACCAATTCTCCATTTTTTAATCCCAATTTTACAACGTACACGTATTTTTCCATTTTTTTTCCCTGCACGTGAACTTGAAGTCCAGAACGAACTGTTGATGATGGAGTTTTGAAAAATTTCAGGTTTACCAAATTGAGAACGTAATTGTGAAGTCAGCGAATTCACCGCGACCCGCGGCGTGGATCCTGGAGAGGTCAGTCGACGGTGAAGAATTTCGTCCGTGGCAGTATCATGCACCCAGCGACGAGGAGTGCTGGTCCAGGTACTCTGTTCCGCCTGTCACTAAGCCCATTTACATCGCCGATGATGAGGTCATATGTACCAGCATATATTCACGTCAAACGCCCATGGAAAATGGCGAGGTAAATACCCATTTAAAAATCCAATTTGGCCATGAAATATCGCGCCCCCAATATTCCCACCGAATAATCATTATTCAAAAATAAATCTTCGACTCTCAAAAAGCTCTTTCCAAACTTTCCCTCACAATATTATTTTTTTTTTCGAGTTCGTTTCGTTTTGTTCGAACTCGATATAAAAATAATATTAAACCCTTTGAGAATCGAAATGACTTTTTAATATTAGTAATGATGAAATTTAATAGAATGTTTTCACAATTTTCCCGTCAAAACGTCATTTACTGAAACAAGCCGCTTCCACCTCTCGCATATCCAGCAAACCCAATCATTAATTATCATCCGGTTTACGAGGTACGCGTGTAATTACATGATTGGATGATTATCGAGCGTGATTTTAGCGCCGGTTGTTATCGCTACCGAGATTGTGGATTCAGTGAATGAAAACACTTCCGGCGATTTCTCCTCAAGAAATTATCGTTTTCTCAAAAAACATTTGCATCTCCTCCTGAAGCCAATGCACAGATAACACATTATTACTAAATTCATTCCAATAATTATTACATTTTTTTACAATCCTGGAAATAACAATAACAATTTTACTCTCAATTTTTGTCCCGATGAAAAAAATAATGGAAAATTTTTCGAGATAGTTGTGTGGCAGTTTAAATATTTCTTCCTTCAACACGAGAGTGGAGTAAAAGTCAGGATTCTCCCTCCACTTTTGTCTGGGGATCGGGTGCACATGGTACGTGAGATCCCTTACAAGGGCCGCCAGTTACAGCCGTACATGGCCGGAATGTAGGGATCTCTCTGCTTTTTTGCCATTTCAGCCTCCACTCTCGTTGAATCCCCCGTCCCTTTTACCTTTACCATCATCGTGTCCTTTCCCTGTGCAATGACCCGCAATTAACGCCTTTTTTGGTTCATCATTTCGAGAAAGCGTATCATCCATTCCATTTTTATTCTCCATCATCTCACCCTAAAATAACGAAAAATAATGATTAATCACAATTGCTCGATTGGTTCCAATCAATCAACAACAAGCATTCAACTTAATTTAATATTTCAGTTAATTGGGAAAAACCAAAAAATTTTCTCAGGCTTCCCAGAAATTTCGTGTGACTAAGGGAACAACTGTAAATTAATGATTAACAATTAATGATGATTAATTAATTATTGACTATAATTAACAATTGCAGATTCATATACAACTGACGAGTGGTCGGCCGGGTGGTCAGAATCACAGTGAAACACTCCAGGAGTTCACTCAAGCCAGATATGTACGGATAAGCCTCCAGGGTTTGAGGAGAGGCGGTGGTGCTTTGGCTGACAGACGACGGGCATTCTACTCGATAAAAGAGATCAGCATTGGTGGTAGATGTTTGTGCTCGGGTCATGCATCCCGCTGCCGTTACAGCGCACGACATGGGGTAAATATTCCACTTAACATCATCACTGATTGATTACTCAAATCTCCAATGACTTCATTCTTATTCACCAACTCCTTCACATCATTCCTCTCGCCTCTCACATCTTTCGTGCATCAATATTGCTCGTTTATGACAGTATCGTACAATCTCCCCCAATGATTAATCACTCGATTAATCAGCTATCAATTATCAGCACAAAAGGAGTCGAGTTCTCAGAAAATTTATGTGGGTTAAAATATAAGTGAGCAATTTATTTAGACTGAAGTACATTTTTCAGATTAGTTTTATCATTTGGAGAAAATTCATTGAATATTTTCTCTTGGAGAAAGCGTTCTTTTTTTTTATGCGAGAGGTCGTCATTATTGAGAGATCAAATCATTCGTAAAATTTTCTAATTATCTTGGAACCTCAGGGAAATTGGATTTTTTATGGTGAGCGATGAAAAATATGTGCCTGAAGTAATTTCGCGTGGATAAAAAAAATGTTAAGTTTGCGGAATGAGTTGATTTGGTAGTTAAAAGGTCATTGATTGAGTTTTATTCGTAAATATTTTTTCGAATCTTCATGAAGTTAACGCGCCCATTAATTATCATTGTCCAGAGCCATTAAATACTTTCTCCATAACTTTAAGGGGACTCAGTGGTTCACGTGTGCACACGTGCTCACTTATATGGTCATTGCCATAGTTGGGCACTTCCAAGTGCAGGAGTTATCTTTCGCCTTGTGTGTACCGTCGTGATGCACACTTGCGAAATTTCTCGCTCGACTGTCGGTCACGATCTTAAGTTTAATGTCCAGTCGGTGAAATATTTTCGGTGATAAAGAGAGATCAAAGGGGACACCGGCATATTTTATTTCAATAGAATTATTTTCACCAGGCACTTACATCTCGCTTCACTCACGCAAGAGCCCAGTATTTTAATCCGTTGAGATGCGCCATTTGCTTTTTGCGGAATTACATTGAATTGGAGATCATATATGGTTTTTGGGGGAATTTCGCATTGAAGAATTTTGAACATTCGGTGGTCTTCCAATGGCTCAATTCCCCTGAGAAATTTTGTTGAATTTTTCTAATATAAAAAGGAGAAAAGCAATCGAACTCGCAATATCTCGAAATATCTCGAAATATCTCGAGTGATCGTAGGGGTAAGACCTGCAAGATAAAACCGACCCGCCACCACGACGTCCTAGCGAAATTCTGAAGTTTAAAAAAAGTGAAAAATTTTAAAAATCACGAAAATTTGAAAATGCTGCAAATTATTGGACAAATTTAACCTAGGGGCGGGAGAAGTGTGAAATTTTGAAAATTCAAACTGCAAACATTTAAAAAATGGTATGCAAATTGTTGAATTTATTTGGATATTGTTAAGCTGCACATAAAGTAACTGATAACTGCGGAAAAATAATGATTGTCCACTAAAGGCGTTGCACCACGCAATATGTAGCAAAATGCTCTCCCCATAACGTATACATTATGCTTAATGCACACGAGGGAAGAGGATGTTACCGAAGGTACATAAGGAGAGACAACCCATTCTCGGTTGTTATTTTATTGCCACCTATAAACGACCCGCCACAAGACTTATCTCTATCCACCTAGTGCATCATCACCCCGTGCTCATCCATTGTCCGATGCCCATTCGTAATTGTTTGGTTTATCAGTCTCAATTGTGGCGCGCATTCTTTCATCACATCTGCTCTTTAAAGACAGAATTTTACAATTTATTTACACCTTTATTTAATTTACAAAAAAATTATTGTCTAGAAGTTTCTTTGAAAAATCAACTTTCCCAGATCTTCCGAATAACCAGAATATTTTTTTCAACGAGAATATATTTTTCAACGGGAAAACCTCAGTGATGATTGCACTAGATGCAGACAATCCTATTTTACTAATCAACATAATTTTTGATTCCCCGAGACGTCAATCCAATAGAATCGTCGACATCCGGCGGAAATGAGACACCGGGGCAATGAGAACTCGTACAACATTCGTCATTTATCAGCCTTTCTCTTCTCGAGATATCGAAACATTTTCATAATCGTGAGCTCGAACGTAGGAATTAAATTCGAAATTCAATGCAACTTGTAATTTTTGTTAATTACGGGGTTATAACTCAGAGTAAATCACTCCCTCGATCTTTCAACATATCCAATTGAAAATACAAATTACAGTTTAATGGTGGAACTGAATTTATTTGGGATATTGCAGCATCAGGAATGCGAGTGCGAGCGTCACACATGTGGAGAGAGATGTGACAAGTGTTGTCCAATGTTCAATCAAGTAACTTGGAAGCCAGGCACCTCTGGCAAGGGTTTTCATTGTGAAAAATGCAATTGCAATGGTCATGCTAGCTCCTGCCGTTACGATCCGGAGATAGCGGAGAGACGAATGTCCCTCGATATCCGGGGAAAGTATCGTGGTGGTGGTGTATGCATAAATTGCACGGTAAATCAATCGTTTAGATGTACTTTTAAATTGAAAATTACAACATCGATTCGCTGATTCATGGCTGTTGCAGGATCACACAACGGGAATAAATTGTGAAAAGTGTCAAGTGGGGTATTACAGGCCTAACGGAATACCAATCGACGATCCGTCTCCCTGTGTACCCTGCGATCACTGCAACATGAAGGGAAGCACTGGATTTTGTACACCCGACGAGACTTATCCAGGAAAAGTAAGAATTTTTACTCTATTTCCCTCTTACTCCCTGAAATTTCCAACTGAATCCACCATTCAATATTCCAAATCTAAATTCAAAATCCATTGAACTTTCAATCTAGTAAAAAATTTTAATTTTATTATACGAAGAAATACGAGTAAATTCCACTACAAATATTTGAACTCGTGAATTTAGGTAGCAGGTGCTTGCGAATGTAAACCAGGCTACTCAGGCTTCAGATGTGACCAGTGTGCAGCGGGTTATCGTCAGTTTCCTGACTGCATGCCCTGTCCCTGCGATCCACGGGGTATTCTACCATCGCACGACTGCGAAGGTGATTGTTTGTGCAAAGCAAATGTCGAGGGGGAGCTCTGTGATGACTGCAAGCCCGGATTTTTTTCTCTGACGCGAGATAATCTCGAGGGGTGTCTCAAGTGCGATTGTTTTGGCATGGCCACTGACTGCAGAGCTGCTAAACTCGTCTACCAAACCGTAAGTTTAGTAATTACTCTTGAATAGCTGCACTGATCGAAAAGTAAAAAAAAATATTCACGCAGTTTATTCAGTTATTGTTAAAAATGGGTTCAGGGATCGCGGGGGGTGGAAGGAGACTAGGGGAAGGGAGGGTTTTTTTAATCCAGAGTGATAAAAGAGTAGATCGATAATTCAGGGACATGTAGATATCCGTTAGAAGATGAACTGGATAAGGTTGGTGCACTGGTGACTGTGCTCATACCTTGGAACGATTGAGAGAGGCCTCTTATAACCCGTAATTACGTCGCACGAACGACTCAACGTAATAGCATACTCGGTATAAACGAGGGTGGACGCCTTGTCCTCTATCTTTTCCCATATTATTATAAATATCAACGCCCCAGCCACGGAAATGTGACGTTTACATTCAAATGAAATGGTCTCGTATTTATCGGATCTCCATGAACGATTCCAGTTTCGTCTGATACCTCTTTTAACAATTAACTCTTGACAAATTGTCACTCGATAATAAATCGATTATGGAATAATTAGTCAATCGTAGTGACAACTTATTTTATCAAGTTCTCCAGGATTAATTTGTGAAACCATTAATTTTAGGGGAATTAGGAAAATAATTAGCAGGATAATTGGGACTTGAATTGAATGGAATGGTTTTTATGATTTTGCATGGATGTAGATATCCAGTTTGGATGGCTGGTTAGTAACAGACGTGAATGCGTCGAGGTCAATTGTACCCGGATTGGATCCAGACAACGGATGGCTGACACTTGCATCCTATGAGGTTGAATATGAGAGTCCATTTTGGCTAGCACCCAAGATCTATGCCGGAAATCGTCTGTCTTCGTACGGGAGTAATCTCACTTATGCTGTAACATGGATTGTCATGCGTGGTGACACAAGCGGTAAACCGACCACTGAGCCAAACGTCATTTTAGTGGTAAGTATCGTTTTACTGGCTGTCACTGAGGAATTCATTATTACCAAGGGGGAAATAGAAAATTAATAGAAAATATCTTCGACTCGGTCAAGCACATCAAAACTTTCCATTAAAATTTATCTCGTATTGTTCATTTTATTTTTCAAATCTCTAGAATAGATTTCGTCGTTGAATATTTTTTTACACCACCAAATGGTGGCAAATATAGGGCATTCCGGGGATTTTAGATGGAAATAATTACTAGATCTGGAGAAAATGGGAATTGATGGGTTTTTGAATGTTCAGGGGAAGAATGGAATGAAAATAGCGTATGGCGAGGAGCAATACGGTGGTCAGGAGGCTGAGATTTCCGTGCCGCTTCGAGAGGAAGGATGGTTTCATATTGAGACTGAAGTGAAAAATATTCAAGTGAGACCCAGGAGGACTGAGTATGTGGGGAGGCCTGTTTCCAGGGCCCAGATGTTGAGAGTCCTTGCTGATGTTGAATATGTCATGATCAGGGCGCAGTACCACTCGGAACAGGCTGAGGGAAGGTAATTTAATCGATAAAATTATTATTTCAACTCTTTCAATATCTTCGCCACCAAATATAAATTATAAATAATAAATCGTGCATAAATTATAAAATAAATTCATTGCAATTTTCGAACGTTTTTCACTCTCATTATTATTATTGGTATTTTTTCTTTCAATTTTTAGCTTGGTGTCCGTGGTTCTACCAATTGGTGAAAAATCGAATGAGGGAGTCGAAACATTCGTGGAGCAGTGCACGTGTCCCGAGGGATATGCGGGATTATCCTGCGAGTATTGTGCCTGGGGATATGTCCAAGTGATTTTAAATGGGAGTGATCATCAGGATCATTACGAGTGCATCAAGTGTGACTGCAATGGCCATGCTGGGTCCTGTGATCTTGTTATGGGTGTATGTACAGTAAGTACACAATTTATCTAATGGTTTCATTTACGACTTCATTTGCATTCACTTATTCAACTCGCGTGAAAAAATCTCTGTTTTTCTTTAAGTCAGTGATAATTTTGGTAAATGAGTTCAGGTTGACCAAAAAAACAAAAATCATTGAAATGTGAATTTCTTTGAATGAAAACCATTCTTATCCGCTCACTAGTCAATAACAAGACGAAAGAAGAGAGAGAAACAACAAGGAGGGAAATATATCGATAAATAGTCCTGCGGTAAACTCTGTTGTTCCTGAAATCCCTTGAACCCCCCCTTCCTTTTGCTGTGGCTGTTGACGCGATGAGTGAGTCACATTTAATTCATATTTAAATAGCTACAGAAGTGTAGCGGCGGATTAGTCACTCGTGGTATTCGTTCAGCGATAGTAGATGGTCGGGAGAGGTGAAATAAGACTTTTAGTGAAGTGCCCAGGACTATTAGATAAATCCGTCTTTCTGTGAGTCCATTGTCTTTAAGAAATTTATTGAAAATTATTTTCTATTGATGATAAAGTTGGTACTGCTCTCTGCACTATCGATCGCAGATTCCTCTTTCGTTACCATCAGTTCATTGAGTGCAACTCGACGCAATATATCAGAGGGGGTTGACTAAAGTAGAGGCTCAGTACTGGGGGTTTGAGTGACCCCACCGCCATCGTAGTCCCCCACCCCAAGAGAGAGGGGGCACCACACGCAGCGCTGGGGTGGGGTCTCGCCCGTCAGCCCACGCGGTAACTGCCTCAGTGGTAGTGCCGCTGTCAAAGGGACCAGTCGGTGCGGTAAATGTTAGTTTCATGCTCCCCTGATACTTTTTCGAAAATTTCGAATTTTTCAATTTCAGTGAATACCTCCTCAATTTTCATGTTCCCGTGATAATTTTTCAAAAATTTTGAATTTTCAAATTTCAGTGAAAACCTCCTCGATTTTCATGCTGCCCTGATACTTTTTTGAAAATTTCGAATTTTTCAATTCCAGTGAATACCTCCTCCATTTTCATGCTCCCCTGATACTTTTTCAAAAATTTCGAATTTTCACATTTCAGTGAATACCTCTTGCATTTTCATGCTTCCCTGATACATTTTTGAAAATTTCGAATTTTTCAATTTTAGTGAATACCTCCTCGATTTTCATGCTCCCCTGATACATTTTTGAAAATTTCGAATTTTTCAATTTCAGTGAATATCTCCTCGATTTTCATGTTC